TGGAACCACATCCTCCTCTATCAGATCAGACTTTGTCTTCAAAGATCTCAGATCAGGAGTCTGTCAGATAGGCTGAGTAAACTTGTCTCTGATAGAAGGGGGGGAGGTCTGAGGGAGTTGTTGAGATCATGTGTTGTGTATGATGTTTTGTATATTTGTTGCCAGTAAGACACTATCAGTAATGTCAATGTTTTTGTTGTTTTCTTACATGATTAATAGCTTACTAGTGCCAGCTGTTTCTGACCTAGCAACATGTGTCTGATATCAATAAATTCTCCTCTCTTCTTCTTTTCTCCCTCTTTCTTCTTCTGTTGTGGTTGTCTTTCTTGTTTGTTACCTGTTGCTTGTTGATATTCTCTCATTATTCTTATTGTTTGTTTTGTTGTATGCTGCATCCTCAAATCTCTTTTCTTGCATCATCTCAGAAAGAGTCTGTTATTGTCACAGTCTTCTATTCTTCTCTTTCTTTAACACCCTCTCCTGCTCAATTCTGCTGTATTCTATCTTGTTGCTGTCAATATGCCTTCCAAATCTCTGAAGACTTCTCTATTCAAGTGTTTGGGTGACAAGATGAGCCCTTTGTTGAGTCAGAAGCATAAGTTGAATCACAAAAGAACTGTATCAGATCTTATTACTTTAAATCAGAATACTCAAGTTGGTGAGTACTTTCTTTTTCTCATCTGTTGTGTTCTTCTGTGTCTGACCATCCAAGCAGTCTCCCCTCATTCCAACAAGAAATGTTGTAAGGCCAATTGTTGAGAGTGTACAAAGCCCACTTCCCCCAATGACAGAAACCAGCCATCTCCTGATCTCTTTGTGGGTGCAGGTGACATTGACATGACTGACATCAGTTTTTCATTTAAAGTTGATTCTCTACACATGAATACTTCTGATGATGATGGTTCCTGTGGTGTGGGGCTGGAGCCTAAGCTCCATTCTTCATTGTCTATTGGAAGTTCTGCTGGTTGTATGGCTGACTCTCTTTCTTCAAGTGATGTTGTTTCTGCTGTTGCTCAATCAGCTAGTGCTATCAGTCCTGACTCACATCCTGTTGATGATATGAAGATCTCTTTTGTCAGTGTCCAGTTTTTAGATTCACTGTCAGCTACTGCTTCTGCTTCTAAGGACCTTCTTCAGAGATTCCTCAATTCTTTAAAAATTGTTGGTTCTGCTATGATCACTCAAAGATCTGTCACCACATCATAACCTCTCACCAAACCTGCCACTGGTCCTTCAATAAGCTCCACCTGATTATCTGATGTCTTTTCAAAAGGTCCAAATGATTCTTCTCTCTTTGTGGAGGCATGTCTAAAAGTGTCTTCCAACAGTTCTTTCTTTGTTGCTCAGTCACCTTTTGCTGGGTCTCTGTCTGTTGTTTCATGCTCTCTGATGACTACACTTCCTGCATCTCCAAATCCTATCTGTTTGACTGTTCCTGTTGATAGTGTCACTATCAATTTTTCTGAAACTTGTGATGTTGAGTCTGTCAATCTGTCAGTCCTGTCTGTTGTTCTGTTGGAAGTTGCTGCATCTTCTCATGAATCCAAGTGTATCATAGAGTCTAAGTTGAGTATGCCTCCCAAACCTGCTCATGAGTCTGCACCTGAGTCTGTTTGTCAGTCTGAGAGTGCCCTTGTGTCTTATTCTGCTTCTCCAGTCAGAAAGCCTTCTCTGAAGCCTGTTTGCCTTCTTCAAAGCATGAAGACTCTGATGATCTCAAAAATTTGGAATGAACCCAAAAATCCTTCACCCCCTTCTGAGATTCTTGCTCTTAATGAGAGACTTGTCTGAAATGATTTTGTCACTCTCCATGTGCCAGCTTTCAATCTGCTAGAGGTCCTTCCCCATCACACTATTATTGACTTCCTCAATATGGATGTTGTTGTCTACAAGACCATCAATTTCAGTGCTTTTATTTTTTACTGCTTTTTTGTCAACTCTTCTACCCAAGTCACCAAAGCTATCATGAAAATGACCATTGTCCATTCTGTTGAATGACACAGGACTGACCTGGAAGGTGTCCTTCTTGATGCAAAGCCAATAAGTTGCAGGTTACAGATGAATACTGTTGTGGTTTATATCTGTGGTTGTGTGTTGGAAGAGTCTTGCACTTTCATGTGCTAAGAATAACAGCTCCTTCAGCAATGTGTCTGAGCTATCAGTTTTGGAAGATCATAAGATTGGCAAGAGAGCCTGTATCTCTTGCCTGTGACCTAATTCCCTTCATCTTTGCTCTCTCTGTTTAAACATCAAGACTGATTCTGCTTCTGATGATGAGCTGCAACAAAAGTCTTCCCATCTATCCCACTTGACCAAAAGCACCTCATTTAAGAGAAAGTCCACTCCAACAAAGAGGAAGTCTGTTGTTTCTGCTGATGCTTCTGAGCATGTGTCACTCAAACTCTACTCTGGTTTGCAGTTCTTTGTTCTCTTCTTGAAGAATTTGTTGAGTGACATCAAGTGTCTCTGTTCTGCTGGAGAGGCTGTTGTGTTGGTCTATTTGAAAATTCTGGATCACATTGAAGAGCTAGAGAAACTGAAGGAGGAGAAAGAATCTGTTGAGTCATCTGAATCTGACTATGACTGATAGATCTGGCTCATGTCTTGTGTCTTCAGACATCTTCATTTGTCTCCTTCTTAAATAGAATAACTTAGTTGATAGAAATCAAGGAATTTTTGTTAATATCTTTCATTCTTTTCAACTTCATTGTAGCTAGAATGATCACTTAACAATCTATAATCATGAGCCTTAACTAAATCACAACAGCAAAGAGTCCATCAAACAAATCAGTAACAGATTGGGCTCTTCTCTCTATCTTATCTGATGTGTCATCATTGAAGGTGTTCTTCTGTTTGTTGCTGGATTTCTTCTGTTCTGATCCTGTTGAATGTTCTGACTCATCTTGATTTTTCATGTGGAATTGAGTTTTGCACTTACTGCTTGATCTGTGAGAGAGCTTATTACTTCTTGAGACAGTATCATCTTTCTGTTGATCTTTTTTCCTGATGATACTATGTGTAACCACTCTCTTCTCTCTATCAGTGACTGAATTGTTCTCTAAATCACCTTTAAGTTCCTTCCACTTGTATTTGGTGATTGTCAATAGTTTCTGATAGGAAGTAACTTTGTCTTCATATATATCCATAATGTGTTGTACCTCTATAGACCTTTCAACTGACAGACCCTTCTTCTTTAGAGCATGAGTCACTGCTGATGAAGACCATAATTCTTCCAGATCCTCTACCTCTGTCTTTACCAATCTTGAACCATTGATAAGGTTCTTTAGAATCTGACCACTTGATTCTTTCAATGTGTATGTTCCAAGCAGGTGTGATTTAATCACTCAATAGAGATCAAACCACCATGATTGAAACTTCTCTGAACTCTCATTTCAAATGAGAACTCATGTTCTGACTTCAAAACCTGTTTCATGGACTACATCATCTTGTATATGCTTCAATTTGATAGCCCAGTTGAGAAGGAGTTTGTTTGCTAATAATTGTGTGTGGGTGACATTCCAAATTTGCATGTCTGCATTTTTGACAGAGACATCATCCAGAATCAGTTTGTTATTGTCAGATGAAATATGTGGATGCACATCATATAGAAGGTAGAAGAGGCTCAGCTTATTTGTTGCATGTAAACATACATGTGTGGTGAATAAAGCTTGTGACAGGTACTCATCCCAAAGTCTAGTTGGTTTGTCAAGAAGATATTTCATTAACATTCTATCAATAAGACTGTTTAGGTTCTCAACCTTTCTGTTTGTTTGTGAGTGGTAAGATGTCATCATGCAGTGCTTTGTTTTTAACATTGCTGTATAGTGTTAAATGGCTCCCAACAGGAGATTGGCACCATTATCTGACAACAACTTGTGCAGCACACCAAAGTTAACAAATATCTTGTTGTGAATGAACTTCACAATCTCTTCATCCATTGCTTTTTTGAGAGGCTTGGCTATCAGTCAACTGGTTGCATAATTGATGGCTGTTATAATTCATTGATTTCTGTTGGGTGTCATGGGCAAGATTTCTATAAGATCAATGACTCACCTCTTGAAAGACTTTATACTCATGTCTACCATGTGTTGAGCTTCTCCATGCTCCAAGCTCTTTTTCAATTCTTTTGCAACTTGACAATTTGGACATTGCTTGACCTCATTCTGAATTTGTGTCTCCATGTTGGATCAGTAGCTGTGGAATTGAACAACTTCTAGAAGTTCTGAACACCTGAGATGACTGAATTCATCATGCATTTGTTAAATCAAGTTGCTTTGAAAAGGCTTTTCAATATACAGCACTTCTGTATTTTTGTCAACAATCTGAACAAGCATCTCATCATGCCTATTGCTTGGATTCAATTTCCTGTACTGGAACATATGACTCATCTTTTCAACTGATTGGTGAAGTGTTGGGTTGTTGGGCAGTTGTTTTGATTGAAGATAGATCATCATTACTTCATACCACTTCTCCTCCACACATCCATAGAAAGTGGTGAGAGACTCTTCTTGAGCAATATTGACTGGTTCTTGACCAAGAAAATTGGGACACCTACTGATAGTGTTGGGAACAATAGCTTCCTTATCTGAATGATATTTGATTAACAGATCATACTTCTGAAAATTGGTGATCCAACAAGTGAGATGTTTTGACAGCTTACATGTTGTCTGAAGGTACTGCAGACTCTTGTGATTAGTGATTATAGTGGTCTGTGTTCTGTTGTTAATATACCAATTGAACATTTTCAACACATGCTTTATCACTAAAAGCTTCTTTTTGTGGACTGGATAGTTCAGTTCAGCCTCCAAAAGCTTCTTACTGTTGAATGCAACTGGATGGAGGAGGTTGTTATTCCCCATCTGATAAAGAGCACAGCCAACAGCTTATTCTGATGCATCTGTCTCAATTGTGTAAACTTTGTTTCTATTCAGTTGAATCATGACAGAATTCTTTGTTATTGCCTCATGCAATTTCAGAAATGACATCTGACAAGATGCATTTCAGACAATCAGGCAAAACTTCTTCTTTCTCAGTTTCTCATTCAACTTCTTCAAAAGATTTGATAGAGGTGTGGTGATCCTCACAAAGTTCTTAATGAACTGCTGATAAAATGTGACAAGGTCTAAGAACTGCTGAACTTCATGCATGTTCTTTGGCACAGGCCATTTCACAATCACATCCATCTTTGTCAGTAGTGATCAGATGATCCCCTTTCCAACAATGTGACTACAGTACTCAAGCTCATTCTTTAAAAAGGTGCACTTGGATGTCTTGGTGTACAACTTGTGTGTATGAAGCTTGTCAAATACTTTCTTCAAGTGCTCAAGATGTTCTTTCTTGAATTTTGAAAAGATGATAATATCATCAAGATACACCAGACAAAAGATACCAGTATACTTCACTAGAACAACATTCATCATTGTTTGAAACAAGGACAGAGCATTCATGAGTCTGAAAGACATAACTAGGAACTCATACTTCTCCCATTGAGTATTGAAGACTGTCTTTTCTATTAATAGTTCACCCATTTGAACTTGTCAGAAACCCACCACTAAGTCAACTTTTGACAAGATCTTTATGGTTTCAATAGTGTTCAGTAGTTCCTGTATTCTAGACAACAGATACTTATTTTTCTTGGTGACTTTGTTGAGAGCTCAATAGTTGATGCACATTCACCATGCTCCTCCTGCTTTCTTCACAAATAGGACAGAAAAACCCCAAGAGCTAGCTGATGATCAGACCAGTCCTCATTTCAAAAGATTGTTGATTTGTCACTTCTGTTCTTTCAGGAGTGCTTGCAATAGAAGATAGGCATGGATATTTATCAGATTTGAATCTCCTGTGTCAATGTTCATTTTAAACAGTTGATCTGGTGGAAATTCCAGTGGTAAATCCTTCTGAAAAACATCTCTATACTCATCAAGCAACTTTTTCAATCTAGAATTCTCAGTAGAAGTATTCTTCTTCTCTTCCCCTTTCTTTTTCTTGAGCACATATAGGAAACACTCTGTCATAGGCTTTTGAAGTGCACACACTAACTGATGAGCTGTCATTAGATTAAGTCTTTCAGCTTCAGCTAGCATGTATCATTGCATGTTGCAAGGCAGTATTGTGTGGCACTGCTTTCTTCAATTGGTGATTGACATTGTTGATGATTTCCAGCTTATGTGTGGATTCCAATGCTGCAGCCACATCTTTCTGAGAATCAGATCATATTTGAAGTTGTTGAGGACTCTTGCAGCAATTCAGCATTTGAATGAGCTGAGTTCAAGATAGAGATAGATCTGATGATTGAACCACATATGTCTTCTTTTTGGTAATTGAATGACTTTTCTCAAGAAAATGAGCTTCACTCCTATTCTTGCTGCTAGATCTTGACTAACAAACTCAGTCAATGCTCTCAAATCCAATAAGGCCTGAACTGTTTCAGCTCTATCAGAACCCAGTGTTACTACCTTTTCTTGATAAAGCATCATTCCTGATCCTGCAGCATTGAGTGTTCAGCATCTGTTGGAATTGTTTTGGTATCAGAGGGTTTTGACTTTAAGAACTTCTGCTGGATTCAATGAGTTGGGGAGATCAGGGATCTCATCAATTTGAGAGACTTCATAAAGGATGTCAGCAAGTGCCTCTGTGTTCACTGACTCCTCTCATTTCCTGATCCAGATTTTGCATTGTTCTTTTCCTTCCCCTTTCTTCTCAGATGCTTCTTATCCAAATTCTTTTTATCTGGGCATGCGCCCATGCTGTAGCTTCTCAGACTGCAAATATAACAAGCTTTGTTCCTACAGCACCACAGTTGCCACACCCATGAGTTCTTCTTTGGAGGATTTGGTCTTTGAAGCATTGCATTGATTTCATCAATCTCTATATTGTCAAGAGTTGTGTTCATCACACTCAGATTCATTGCATCAGGGTCAGGAGCCTCAGCATGATTTCTTCAAGCTGGTCAGCTTCTCACCATCCCCATGACTTCTTCTATGTCTTTCAACACTTTCACAATAGTGTCTCTTGTTGTCAGCTTTTGATGTTCTTGTTTTCATTCTGCTAGGACATTGGATTTCAGTCTGTTCAATAGTAACTGGATATAGACAGGTTCTGGTAGGGAGTATCCAAGTTCAATGTATGCCTGGTTGAGTTTGATCAAGAAGAATTGGACATCTCCTTTTTGCTTGATGTTCACAAGATGCTTCCATCAGTAGTCATCAGTGTTGAGCTCAGAGTATTGTGTTGTGATCCATTTTTTGAATTCTTGCCACATCATTGGCATTGTGTGATTGTTCAGGTCTCAGTCCACTAGGTCTTCTTCAGCTGCCCATTGTCAAGCTGCATCTCCAGTAAGTCAGGTTGAGGCTAGGGTGACTTTCTGAGGGTCAGTTGCTTCTCTTTTGGTGAAGATTTTCTCTCAATTTCAGTACAATCAGCATTTGGAAAGTCACTTGTTGGCCACATTGTCAGTTATCTTTCTGTCATATCCTTTTGGTTTTTCAAGTTCAGAGGCTTTTCAGGTTGGCATCTTTCCATTAGCAATTGATGCATTGATGGTTGGTATGTTCACAACTGGTACACTAGCAGTTGGAGCATTAGGGGGTGGTGTAGGCTGTGCCTGTCCAGCCAATTGCTTGGCAAAGTCAGATTGCCATTTCTCCAAGTTATTCAATCACCTGATCATCTCTTCCCTCATGCATTGGATTTCATTTTCCATGTCACCTCAAATTCCATCAGCTTGGGCCTTTCCCTCTTGTTGTCTGGTATGCTGTGCTTCTGCCCCAAACAAGCATAAAGCTGTTTCCAGTTGCCTACCTGCTGTGGCAGATGCTTTGTTGTTGGTCATGCATTTCCATAGGGCTGTCAATGCATTGTGAATTGCCAGGTGCTCCAGGGGGTTTGGTTCAGTGAAGTGGCTTGAGGTAGGAGCTGGGACTTCAGAGCCAGTTGGGACTCCAAGGCTGGAAGTCATTTCAATATCATCCAACATAGGTGCAATGGTAGATGTTGAGGGTTGATAGTTATTGTGAGGTATAATAAACAGTTATCTTGCAGTCATGCTGCATGAATCTGATCAAAAAGGGTGAGGTATTTATCATCAAAGGAAAAACTCTGTTAAGATTCCAATTTGTTGAGGCAGTCTCATGAAAAGGAGCCTCATTGACAACCTTTTGGAGTCCCCAAGTTGAGTAGTGAAAGCAGATCCTCAAATTATAAGACAGAATCTTTTGGCTGCTCCATCAGAGGTGTTCACTTCACTAAAGGAGCTTCACTTCCAATGGGGAGGACTTGACATGCTACCAGATGTGATATGAGGATGAAAGTGGATTGGTTCCTCTACTGAAGGGGAC